TTTTTTTTTACCATCTTTCTTGTTGAAACTATAACTGGTCCGGGATCGAAGGACTGATCTGATCCCAGGCTATTGAGTATTGACTAGTGACTACTCCTCTGATCTGGATTTTCTTAACAATCTATTGTCTTGACTATTTTTCAATCTCATTAGTGCCATATTAGTAGAATCTGATGTAATGTGAATATTTCATATTGACAAGACAGAATTGGTTAGTTTTTAGCTTCATGAAAAAAGTTATCCACATCTGAACTCAGTTCTCAAATCACTTACCTTCCTCTTTTCTTTATTTTTCATGTTTTACAAGATTGCGCGAAGCACGATCCAGATGTGAATGACGATACCCAGAAGAACTTTGCTGAGCTATTGTCAGAGGAACTAAAGCTGCGAGAAGCTGAGGCTTTGGAACATCAACAGCGTGCTGACATGGCATTGCTCGAGGCTAAAAAGATGACCTCCCAATACCAGAAAGAGGCTGACAAGTGTAATTCCGGAATGGAGACATGTGAGGAGGCAAGAGAAAAATCGGAAGCTGCTTTATTAGCACAAAAACAACTAACAACCTTGTGGATGTCAAGGGCACGTCAAAGAGGTTGGAAAGAAGGAAATGCCAGGGCTCGATCCTAGGCAACGTAACACGCATTTTGTTAGAATACCGACTTCCATTTGAAAGACATTATAAATTAAAAGTATCTGCTGTTGCAGCTGAAAGTGAGCATCAGTTTGAGATTATCATTGTGCAATATTTGCTGAAATATTTCACCTAATGTTGTAGATGTAACATTTTCGCCATTGTTAATTATCATTATTTGCTGAAATCATGTTATGCAAGCAAAAGTTGAGATTTCCATGTGGAAGAACACTGTAATGTCCCGGATTTCACCATGTAAACAATTTATTCTTAGTTCAAATCAGAAATATTTTGTATGTGCATGTCCATATCCCAGAGAGTAACTCAAGAAATGTCCTCTGTAAGGTAGTGGGGAAAAGAGTATGGACTTAAAATCTATTTCATCTCTGATTGTTTTGAGGCTATACTTGAAAAGATACTTTAAGCAGTTCGACACCAACGACCCCCCAGACCCACTCTTGGGCCCGTTCGACACCAACGGGCCCCCAGACACCCACTCTTGGGAACGTTCGACGGGTAAAGAGAATGGATCGAGGTAATGTTTCAACTCCTGTGTTGCCAGCACAAACATTAACACCCCCACAAGATTGAAATTAACCTGAACAAATGTAAATGTTTATAAACTGGAATTAATAACCATCTCTACATTCCAATGTGCCCAAGGGGCTACAAAGCACCAGCCAAACAATCAATACAAGAACAAAAACACACTTAACGTTCGGTTCAATTTTGGCTTTACAATTTCGAATGTGATTATCAATATTTCTGGCATAACTTCTGAAACTATTATCAATATTTCTGGCATAACTCTGAAACTAGATCGAAATACCCAAAACAACGCGAGTTAATCTATGTATGGATGCAGCACATTAACAACATCAAATACCCTTATTCCATTTTTAAGGTTTAAGATGTATGCTCAGATCATCCATGCTTGGGCAGCCCAGGATTTGCAGTCCGTGCTCGTTGGCTAAATGCAGTAAGCATATGAAGCACAAATGTGGTGAGATGTCGTTAATGGATGCTGCTGCTCGACAGGCATTTGGAAAACTGGCTAAGACCTGCTTGAAAGAAACAGTTCCTCTTGGTGCATCTTCCTGAAAAGTAATCAGTAGTCATAGAAGCTCATGAATATAAGGTAAATATGTATGTCCAATGTGTTTAGGCAGAAAAAAAAAAGAAAAAGAAAAAAACCTCGGCTAAATTTTGATCGGATTGCTGCATATGGTCCCAAAGCGTCTCCTTTAGTGCGTGAACATCAACTTGTTTCGATGTCTTATCGTACTGAACCTCAATCTTGTTTACCTGGGTTAACAAAAGAAACCCAAAACACTCGTCAGCTGAGCATATTCTAAGGTGGAACAAACCAACTAGATTCGTAAAATATCACAACATTCAGTGAGCTGGACATGGAATAACATAAAATACCCAGAAATGAAAAAATGTCCATAATATCAGAGCAGAAGTATTGCAATAGTGATATAATTATTTTTTAAAGCATATCTCAGAATCCAGCGAGAACACTATCCATGCAATCTGATCAAAACTACATAATTTGGTAAATTGCTAAATCTACTTTTAAACAGCAAAGATTAAAGTGTTTAGGATTTAATGTCTGAGTCATAGTAAAACATGTCGATTAAAACAACCTACCTGTCGAGGCTGAGAAACAAGCGTGCTAGGATCCTCAATGTCACTATTGGCGGCAAATCCATCGTCAAAATCTCCACCAAAGCCATTGTCATCATCCCAAGACGCTGTGGCTCCATACTCATCCCTTTGATGACATTCTTCATCTAATAACAAATGACATCTTATTACCCCGAAAAGCAGACATAGAACAAAAATACAACAAAATTTCATAAACGTACTCCATAAAAGTTAACACAATCGTGTCAAAATCATGAGAGTGTGTCCAACATCCATAATGCTATACATACAACATTTTAGTTAGCATGAAAGAGTTGGGTCGATATTATGAATTAAAGTAAGACTTACCACTTTTCTTCCTTCTACTCTTTCCAAGGCACTGCAGTAAGATTATACAGAAGAAAATAACAATTACAAAGGTCACTAGACGTCAAGGTTAGAAATGAGGTATTGATAATTCAATCAGGAAAAAGGTATAGTTATCCATGTTTACCAAAACATGAGGTAACAAAAATAGCTTCACAAGATCCTCCGGCTGGTAGTGACAATCTTCTGGAAGCTTTGTGTTGCAAGGCGCTCTATTAGTAGGCAACAACAAGGACTTTGGATTCTTTGGAGGATCAAATATATGCGACAAATCATTGTCCAAAGCATTTGAGAAATCAATTTCCAAATCTGCTTTCTTGTTTTTCGTTTTCTTAGGCTTTGGTGATCCATTTTCCACATCCGGAGCTTCCGGCTCTACAAAAGAAATATGCCGTCAATGACTGGGAATAAAGAAGAGCAAAAAGAAAAGGGAAATGAAATTGGTTTCATTAAAACCTATATCACTCGACCTTTTACTTTCCGATATTTCCAGTGATCGGGACCTGCCCATGCATTCTGCTTCGTTGAAAATCCCAAACTTAAGAACAAATAGCTATCAACTTCCTCAACTCTATCATACTCATCAGAGTCATTAATGTTCAATTGTTCATCAGACTGCAGATCGCAAAAATGGCCAGGAAAATATAAATCATTAGAGTATATACTTCCATTTCAGAACAGCATAAGGGACAGGTACAGATAACATAATAAGTTTAAGCAATGGAAAAATTACCAAATCCAGAATTCCCTGCTGATCTGGGAAACTAGCATACTGAACAAAATTCCCATCATCAACTACGCTTGCTTGGTCATCATGATCAAAATCCCATGTGCCAGAATTTTCGAATGCTTCACCACCCAAATCGACATTAGTTTCAGCACTCTCATTGGCTTGCCCTGAAGGTATTTGACCAGAATAATCTGCCTCAAATCGTCTACGGTCATCATCATCTTCAAGTTGACTAACTATAGCCCTGAGGCTTGGAGATATTTCAGACTTGTTTAGCATATTCGATACCATCTGCTCAATGCACTCTAAGCAAAAGAAAAAAGGAAAATCAAGAACAATTACATCCATGAAAAACAGTCTTTGACTCATTTAACTAATGAGTAAAGACTAGAAATAAACTAGCTATTAAATAAAGTTAATGGACTGCACATGTACATACCTCGGGCAAAAGACAAATCAATTGTCTCTGACCCCTCAGATTGAGACACAGGAGGCATACACATTCCAGGCACTTCCGAGGAATCAAAGAGGACCTGGCAGTTGCCATAGACTCCAAGATTGTTCAGCAAAAGTCCCTTTGCTCCACCTTCATCAAACTGTGCGGATGTCTGGTGGTAGAGAGGGTCCACAACAAAGGCAGCTGAAAGGAAAGGCACAGCGCAGGCACAATAATCATAAATTTGCATGACAAAGAGAGCAAGGATAGAAGGAGATACGCAGCGCACACACACACACACACACACAATGATGTATAAACGAAGATAGAGAGTTTAAAAAGATACCACTATAATTTTACAACTAGTTGAATGTAACTTACCATCAAACTTCTTCACATTGATTGCAGCAAAAGATGACTCTAGGGTGGACAATGGCGACAACTGCAAAAATACGCCACTAGTCTTGGTTAAAAAATATGTATTATTCAACCTTTACAAGATATAATTAATCAAGTACTTGACATAAAATATAGGACAAAACTCAACCTTTCTCCCTTGCTCTTTCTTTTCATCAGTTTCTCCTTGTCCTGTACTGACATTGCCATCTTCATCAACATGATCTGGCATAAGAACATTTTCAACAGCTAATAAGCAGAACAAAGATTGAAAAACCTTGTCACGGCAGGTGTCAAGTATACTGTGTCAAGCAACATTCTGGGCTCGAGATATGAATGAGAGGAAAGAACAATAACTACGCAACAAACTGAAAGTGGCTGATAAGAACAGGCCTAAAATATAAACCATTCTGAAGCATACATCGTTGACAATATTAAGATTCTGAGCACAAAATGTCCAAGACATGCTCGATGGGTGATGAAAGTTGCTCAAAGTTCAGCATGGAAAAGATGAATGATGTTGTAACCACTTATTTAGCCCCACATAACACTAATTCAGGGCAGAGTCCACAATCATTGCAATCACCACAGCTAAATTCCCTCACACTATTAAAGTTTTTAAAATCAACAAGATAAATATAATAAATTCATACATATTAGAAAAAGTAGTACAATAACAGCAATTAAGCTATGTCAAACCTAACCTTGTTCATCTTCTTGACCAACCCGATTAATTCCTCCAAGCACTTTATACGCCTCCGAATGTACGGAATCCACTCTCATGGAGTAAATTTTAACACCAGCTTCAAGGGTACAACTCGCCTACAGTCAGGTAATCACATAAAAGTTTATATCATATCATCTCATCAACAAATTCCTTTCAGACGAAAATGAGAATGTACAAATACAGACACATGCATACAGTAATTTTAGAACTAAGGACCATATTTTCTCATAGTACACTAGTATACTAGTGAAGACAACCATCGAATTGCAAACAATGAGAAGAAAATTGGGAGAATTCTGCCCTAAGAAAATAGCGGAAGAGAGTCTCAGAGAAGAGTAAAGTTTTGTGAGAACGGACAAACGGATATCCTTTCTTCATGCCTCAAGGAGTGCGAAGCAGCACCCCGCTCAATAGAGTTATCATTTTCAACCCTCATTTGTGCATAAAATCAAAGCTTCATTACCAAAACCATGTACAGTTTTTAGTGGAGGGTGCAAGCAATTGGGTATATTCATCTTCCCTCTTAACAAGATCCTGATAATCGTATATCATTGATCTGCCACAAGGAGCACCTCTACCAATCAGAATACTGTAATACCATATCAAAGAATTGTGTTTGTTTTATTTTTTCTTATTGTTCAGTTTCTTTATGATCTTATTTAAAAGTTCAGAAATTGACCATATCAATTTCACTATTCCAGTTACATTGAGTTCAGACTCCAAAAATGCTCCAATGTTTGTATGAACATTTCCAATAACAGAATGCTAAATTAATCGCCCAAAACGATTAATTATAGCAAAACATGCTGCCTTATCTCCTAAAATAAAAAGAAAAAAAATATTTATAGCTGTCACAAGCCCAGTAAAACAGACAGACACATACCTTCTGAAAATTGGTCTCGGTGTCATTTTCTTCTTCAACCTTGATAATATCGCAGAGATGATCAATCAAATTCAGCTCCCACGTATTCTTCTGATTAATTTTCTGCAAGCCCACACATCAATTAAGAGATTTTTTCCGGTAAGTATAAGACTGTTGACCTAAAATCTGAAAAAACGAAAAATGAAACCCTGACATTTTCGCTGGCCAGTTTGATGCAGTTCTGAAACAACTCGAGGATCTGATCTTTTCCGAGACATGGGTCATCCTTGGAAGACGCGGACATGTCGGCGACGGCCGGCTTGCGCCGGATGGCGGCGGCGCGTGCAGCTCGAGCCTGAGCGCGTTCCAGTTTGTCGTCATTGGAGCCGATAAAGAATGGGCTCTTCGTGGGGGAGAACGGAACCCTCTGCTTGTGGGTTGGGCTTAAAGCTTCAGCCATTTTATTGTCCTTATGAAACTCCCAAGCTGCAGATTATTGAAGATAGATGGAGAGGAAGAAGAGAGAGGAAGATGGAAGTGGTTTCGAAATGTGTGGTTTCCCTCCTTCGAAGTTTGAATTTATTTTGTACAACCGGACTTCAATTTAAATAAAAAAGTTTGGTTTATTTGTTAATTGGGGAACCAAATAGAATTTTTTACCAGAAAATTAAAAAAAAAAAAATTAAGACCATCTACTACCATGACTTCAACAATGGGATTGGCAGGGATTGTGCAGAAAAGGTAGATAGGAAAATATTAAAAAAAAAAAAATTATTTGCCTCATGAACGAGCTGCTCGTTCTGCCGCCCCCAAGATCATTCATCTCCAATGTGACATTTGTCAAAGTATGAATGAATGTTTATTTCTTTTTTAATTGTAAATTTTAATGGATAATTTTTTGACATAGTTTTACAAACAAACTCAACCTTTCTTATAATCTTCACATATTTTCTCTTTCTAGCATATGTCGAGTTATTTGAGCTTAATGGATCCAAATTACCCCAATTATTTGAGCTTAATGTATTTCATGCATCTATCTATATCTGAGTTTATCTTTTTTAATTTTATATTCTAAATCTTGTAATATCTATTTTGTTATTGAGTGAAAAAAAATCAACCTTTAATGTGGACGATAATATTTTAAAATTATAATTGCGAATATTAAAATATAAAATATTTTAATATGTATTTGTGTAGAATTTTAAATTTAATACAAATTATATAATATTTAATAAAAAATAAAACAAAAAGAAAATATTAAGATGAGTTGGGTTGGGTTGGGTTGAGATGGTGTCATTGATGTGAGTAAAAATAAAATTGGGTTGTGAGTTGTATAGGTGGAGGAGAGATAAATGAGTATTATATTAAAAAGTTGGGTTTGGTTGGGTTGTGAGGGGTTATTATAGTGAGTGTCTAAGTTGTGGAAAAAAACATACACAAATAAATGAGAGTGGACCAAAATAAAAACCCCGTATTCAGTGAATACGTTTTACCTTTTTTTAATTGTAAAATGTATTCACTGAATACGTTTTCTTTTGTAAAAAAATATGAAAAAACGTATTTAAGGAATACGTATTCTATACCAATTGTATAGAAAACGTATTCCTTAAATACGTGCTTTCTATTGTTGTCCACTCCCTTTTTTTCTTTTATTTTTTTTCACATTTTTTTTTTATTTTTTTAATATATAAATTACTCGAACCAAATAGTTATATATCATATTTAAAAATAATAAAATAATTTTATATTTGATAAAGTTCAAAAATAATACACGTTTACATAAAATTAATATTCTATATTATATGAATTATTGAAAACTAATAAACTAGAGATACCGACTCTATAAATACAAAATATAATCACAATACAATAAAATTGTTTTGTTTAAAAAAATTGAATCAAATTTATGTAGTTGTAAATAATATATGTGTTGGTTCAATATAATTCTAAAAATGTAATTAAAAAATATTATTTTTTACAAATTTAGTTTAAAAATAAAAGCGCCGTTTGAATTACTTATCACTTTGTAAGTTATTTATTATTGTTGTATTCATTATACATAATTTTACAATTAAAATTTATATTATTTCACAATTAAATTATTTCAATTTTATTGTACAAATACTAATATATTTAAATATATGTGTAGTACACGGGGTATCGTACTACTAGAATATAAAATCTATTATGAATGAATGGAAAATATGGTTGTAAACGAATCGAGCCGCTCGAGTCAAAGCTCGACTCGAACTCGAGTTTGACCGAACTCGAGTCGAGCTCGAACTCATATTTTCCCTTGTAGAGCGGCTCGAGATACACGTTAAATCACTCATTATATATATTAGCATAGGTGCTTAATCGTAATTTTATATTTCCACTCAAAATTTTCGAGCCGAACTTGAGCATTTTGATTTCGGCTCGAGCTGGTGTAATTTTTAATCGAGTCGAACTCGAGCCTCAAAAATCAAGCTCGACGTGCTCGAGCAGCTAAAAAAAACTCAATCTTGCTCGATAAGGTTAATTCTCGACTCGGCTCGGGTCGTTTGCAGCACTAATGGAGAATGAGTTGATGTATATCTTACAAATGTATCAGCATTTGTGATAAATCTTTCAAATTTAGTGCAAAACAGTAAGAGATGTGATAAATAAAGTTTTTTATGTTTTAGAAACTCATGTAGTTTCCCCCAGCCATGGCTACGGTAGAACATTCTTGATTCATGCCCAACACTAGCCATAGTTGAAGCACTCATCTCCACATAAGAACTCCCACTTCTACTCAACTATTACACATAAAGCACACTTCTTCATAAAATTTCATTATCTGACCAAACAATTTCTGTAACAAAGCCTGTCCATTGCCCAAGATTCAATTTGCAGTTCATCAAATATCAATTTTCAATCTTACATGGAACTTGACCAGAAAATTCCCCCCCTTCTAAGGCTCTTCTGTTGCAGCAACAGCAGCTACTTCATCTTTTTCCGGCGACGCGTAGTTATGCACCTTGTACTGATGCCTAACGGCGAACCACACAAACACCCCGAAATTCAGTACCCCCAAAACCACCAGCAACAAGTAAAAATTCTCCAACTTTCCCCTGTTCAGGTTGCTCCTAAGCCACGACCCGCCGGTCACCCGATCCACCAGCGACACCAGCAAGCTGCTCACGAAATACCCCATCGAAAGCGTGCTCAGGAAAAGTCCCGTGCTCATCGACTTCATCCTCTCCGGCGCCTCCCTTATGAAGAACTCCAGCTGTCCCACGTACGCAAACGCCTCACCGGCCCCCACAAGGAAAAACTGCGGCACAAGCCAAAATGCCGTTATCCTCACATTCTCCTCCACGAAAAAGCTTCTCCGCCGCCGCTCGACGAGAGCTGCCGCCCCCATTCCGGCAACGGAAAACACGAGCCCGATCCCGACCCGCTGGAGGCTGGTGAGGCCCTGTGCCCGACCCGTGAACCGCCGGGCCAGTGGGACAATGGCTCGTTCGTTGAGAGAGGTGAAGAGGAGAATGGTGGAGATGAGGAAGAATGAGAATGAGCCGGCTGGGACCGGGAATGACCCGAGTCGCCGGTCCATGAATGTTGCCTGCTCGATTGTGAACGTGTTCATCTGCGAGTACACGGTCCAGAAGAGGATGCAAGTCGACCATATCGGGAGTAGCATCACTACCATTTTCACCTCCTCCACTTGAGTCACGGTGCATGGTACTCCCGATACAGTCTTGTGCTCGTCGAGTATGGCCGCCATGTCTAGACACCTGAGATGATAAAGATGATAATTGAAGACTGTATTTAATACTGAGTTTTTTCTATTAACATTTATATATGCTAATACTTAGACTACTAAGTATATGTTAACAACATCGCGGTTTTAATTAATTTTACCTTAGTTTCGCCGTGTGAGGAAGCTTCGCAGAGGAATACTCATTCAGCATCGTGTTTTCGGGAGGAAAACCAAGGCTTCTCCTCCTCCACGCGGCCCAAACGACCCTCCAAACCACGGTCAACGGGCTTCCCTCGGGCTTCCTGAACCGGTACACGCTTGTCCCGCAAAGCAGAACACCAACGGCCACGATCATGGTCCCGGCCGATATTCCGTATCCGTATCCTCTCCCGACATTGTCCTGAATGTACACGAGCACGGTCACCGCGAAAAGCGAGCCGAGGCTGATGCAGAAGTAGAACCGGTTGAAGAAGTAATTCATTGCACGCTCCTCCTTCGTGTCGGACATGTCGAATTGGTCCGACCCGAATCCCGACACGTTCGACTTGATTCCGCCGCCACCGACTGCGATCGTGTAGAGGGCCGTGTAGAGCATCGCCAGCTGGTGGCCGTTGGCCTCGATGCACGTGCTCCTGCGCGGGGCGTGGCAAGGCGGGGGACGCATGCCCGGGATTGTCGTGGCCAGAGTCAAGAGAGTCACTCCCTAAACAAAATTTCAGAACAAATCGAAAGGTTTACGTGTAATAATCCGAACATTTTTTTTTTCAAAATTTTAGCAATTTTTTTTTTTTAATTTACCAAAGCTGCTATGGAGGCAGAGATTGCAACGGTCGAATAACGGCCTAGTTTAGCGTCGGCCACAAATCCGCCAAGGAGGCCGAGAAGGTTGAGAGTCCCCATGAAGTTTGTGACGATGTTTGCCGATTTAGCAGACGAAAGGTGCAAATCACCGACCAAATACGTGACCATGTTCATGGATATGCCGATCACGCATATCCTTTCGGACAGCTCGGTTCCTAAGCAACAAAAACGTAGGAATTAATCGGAAACTCTTATGTGTGGTTATAAAAGAACATGTCTTAGAATGTTTTATGTCATGCAGTACAGTTACATCATCATATACACGTGACGTTCGCGAACGATTTTAAGTTGAAACAGAGTAGACTGACAATTAAACAGGATAATAATCACTTTACCTAAGATAAGCCCTGCAGCCAACCACCCGCCGGTTCTTGATTTGTCGACCGGATTTCCTCGAAAATCCACGAGCTTCCCATCGTTTTTTGCACCATGGTTATCGACCAAAACCTTGGAGTTTCAACAACATACACACACATGATATATTAGTTTTCGGTCGAAGTTAAAGGAAAAAAAAAAAACAGAGAGACAAGAGGATTACCATTGCTAGAGAAAGGGAACTGAATGAAAAGAACCGAGCTTTGAGACGAAAACAAACTCTCCAAGACTTGAATGATTGATGAAGCTAAATTTAACTAACAAAATAAGGGGCTTTCATATACACAGCTAAGGTTCAGTCCACATGTTAGCTTTTGAGCAAGCTAACAAAATTGTTTTGTTTTAGTGTGCAATTTTGGAGGTATTCACATGTGGTGGTAAATGGTTGCACAGCCCAAAGAAAATGACAATTGAGCCATGGATGATTATCTATCTGTAATATTACAATGAATATTTGGTGGGGGCATATAAATGAAATTTAAACAGACTTCTACTTCTTGATAATGTTATAATAGGTGAGCATTCGAGACCCGACTCTATACATTGCTTGCAATGGCAAAAGAGATTGCGTCGTGGGAAAGAACAAACAACATAAGATAAAACGAATGGAAAGTAACCAACATGGGTTGGCTCAAGTGGTAAGCAATTTGGGCATAGCTCCGAATACCGTGGCTAGCTAAAAAAAAAAAACGAATAGAAAGTAGAGGAAAATTGCTTGTACGCAGGGGAAAAGATGTCAAATTCGAACGATCGATTTTGGAATTTCATGTAATGGTTAGCAAATAAATTAAAAATGATACAATTTGTCGAAAGTTGTAATATTTCCCTTGTGTGTGCGCGGGGATCAGTATCTAACATGAAATTCATTAAATAATATGTTGTCTCTATTTTTGTTGGTACAGGGACCTTTCGGTTTACGGATCCACATAAGAACCGACTAATCCGGAATTAACATTCACCGTTTAATTATTTCATTATAATAATTAGAGTGTTCTAAACTCAGAGTCAAGTATTCCCCACCATTTTTTTCTAGAAGTTTCCTTCTTATTTGTCCTTTTATTCACAAATTCTACATGTAACCATATGGCATATGAGATGACTTTATTATTTACATTTATTAATTTACCAATTCCTACGTGCAAGGACGTATAAATTCCAACATGGCAATTGTTTTTTTTTTTTTAGTTTAATTGAAAAGGCAAAAATGATTTGATATGTAGTTATAAGTTAAGCTTGGAGGAAAAAATAATTCCTCCAATTGCACTAATTATCTACAAATAAATTTTGTCAATTTCTATGAGCATAGTAGATAGTGAAATAAATGAAAATAATAATTCAGGATCATGAGATCAATCATATCAATAGTTATAATAAAGTCAAATTATTGTCAATCATTAATGACAATTTGATAATTATTTGATCATAGTGCGGTCAAACATGTACATTTGACCAACAATTAAGGGTAAAATAGTCAATATACATACATCAAACGTGACCCACTAAACAATTCAATTGATCATACATTTTCTCTCTCCTCCACCTATCTCTCTCCTCACCCCACCTATCTCTCTCCTCACCCCTCACGTCTGAACATGCACACACGCACTACACACACACAGTGTTCCAGCGGCGACCACCACTCCGCCACGTCGCCGTCGCCTATCGCCACATGTCATCCGTTTCGCGCCCACCTTCCGGCCACCGGAGCTTCGCTGTGCAGCCGCCATCTGCATGTTCCTGCATAAGCTTCGCCACCCGACGTCTGCAACCAGTCTCCGCCGCCACCGGTCGCGTTGCAGCCGACAAGAATCAACCCGTCGTCTGTCAGCCACAACAAACAGTCTAACGCCGAATGCGAGATACACCGGTCACGCGCCGGCGGCTATACAAACCACCCGCCGGCCGCGTCGGCTCTCGCCAGTCGCCACTGAGACGTCGCCTCCACAACCCGCCACTCCCGTCGCCGGCGAGAATGCAGTAAAAAAATATGAATTTTGAGCAGCGAGGAGATTCGCCAGAGATGGGGGAGACGGCAGGCGACAGCCTGGCGTTGGTAGTAGCGGATGGCTGGGGCGCTGGCGACGGGCGGTGGGCGATGAATAGTGCTCGTGTGTGTGTGTGTGAGATAGTTGAAGATATATTGACCTTTTCTTTTGTTGGTTTTTTTTTCTTGTTTCTATCTTTTGTTTTGTTTTTTCGTTTTTTTTTTTTTTTGGAAATTATACAAATAATAAGGACTTTGTTGCAATTACTTGATGTAATCAGATTTTTTTTCTCTAGATTATACTAATGTTCATCCCTGCAATTACTAATATGCAATATGATAGTCATTTCGGCAATTAAACGATTTAACCAAAATAAACGAATTAAATTATATGTACATTTATAATATTGTAGTTAGTATTTTGAAATTGAAATAAAAATAGATAATCGACAATAATATACAAATTTGAATTGTTGATTTTAATTTGGATGGTTTCGATCGAAATGTGCAATCTAATAGTCATTTATGTGCAAACTGTATAACATTATTGTGCACTTGCAACACATAAAATGTATAAATAGTAATAATAATATTAATAATAATAATAATAAAAATAATAATAATAACAACAATAATGATATTAATAACAATAATAATAATGTTTAAATAATCTAATATAAACTTCTATTTATTATTTTAATAATTTTATTCAATAATTTTATATTAATCTTAGTTGAACAAATATAATATTGAAATACCAAAGACGATAATGTGCATTCTGCATTAATGTGCACTTAACTAACGTATTTGTGCAATTTATTTTTGTTCATTATATTGAGTGAGTATTTTTTATTGTGCATTATCAATTTATATGTATAATAAAAATATAATTTATATTTTCATGTAATACTTTATATTCTTATCCGCTCAAAACAAATAATATATATAACATAAAAATATTTTTTTATAGAATTCAGTTTATTTTATTATTTCACTTTTTTTTATTTTAATTAATTTAATTATTTTTAAAATAAGGTCGAAAACGAATTGAAATAATAAAAATTTTAATATATGTGAAAACAAACACTTTTTATGCTAATATGCAATCACAAATACATTAGTGTGCAATCGATATAGCATTACTGTGCAATACTATAATCACTACTATTCATTTTCTGCATTCGTTTTTTTTTTTTTTTTTTTTTTTT